ATATAAAATTTGCATTATTAAATTATGCGTTTACATATAAATCGTAAAGTTATATGATATCTTATTTGTTGAAATTAAAAAATAGAGTAATCTAATTGTTTAGAATACTTTTATTGAATATTTGTTTTTCATAATTTTTCGAATGGGCATTTAAGGCTGTTATGAAATCTTCTTAAGAACAAAATAAATAAATTCGAGTTATTAGTTATTTTTCACAATTATTAAGGTTAATGCAATTCATTAAGCTTCCTAATTCTTAATAATAATATAGTCTTAATCATCAAAACCTTTTAAACATTGGTATGAAGCTCTTTTTTTTTATAATCCTTAAATAAAGGATTAATTAATTATTATTTCTTCTTATGACCCAATTCTACTTAATGCCCAATTATTATAACATTTGATATAGATAAATGAAAATTTAATCAAACCTTAAATTAATTTTATGATAAACCTTGTCTTCTTTCTTAATATTGGAAATAACATATAAAATTAATTACAACCATTTAAATATTCGCATTCTAAACATGAATCAGTAATTCATATCCTTTTGTACAAGAAGTGCATATAATTTAATAATCATCTTTGTCTTCACTTTAGGCTTTATTGCCTAGAAGATTGATATTTTTATTTACATTTATTTAGTTTTTTTTTAAATTATTTATGATTTTAGTAAAATAAATTTAAGAATTCATTAAGTTCAATCATTAAAGGAACTTTTAGGATTTATGTAATTTTTAACAAACTTCTTTACGAGAGAAAAGGAAAAAATTAATTAATACAAAGCAGGGTTATCATGATTTATAATACAGAATTAATAGATGCTAAAAATATTGAAATATAAAAAACCATATTATATAATAAATGTATCAAATTTTTCAATTTTGTTTGGTTTATTACCTGTAGCTAAATATTAATAAAATAACAAATAGATTTAAGACAAGAAAATAATTTAAATTTTATTAGCTTGAAATTTTTAATTATCAAAAATTCATCTTCAGTTTTAAAAAATAACAATTATAATATTTTACACATTATTTAATACTTTGCTGTGTTGTAATAAATATTTTATATGACTGATTTTTAACTTTACAAGAGGCTGTTTTGCTTTGAATAAAAAGGGCAGGAACATGGTACTATAAATATTGAGGTTGAAATGTGGGATTAGATCAAAACCTAAATTACGAAGATGAAAATTTAAATCATTAAAACTCAAGATAATGAAATCATTTATTTAAATGATGGAATAATTTTGAGAGTGTGAGAATATTTTATATTTTAATAATAGCTAATCACTACAAGATGTTATAAATAATCCATAAAACTTTACTAATCTGGAGTAGATCTAAAACCTTCAATGGAAAAAAGAAAATGAAATAAACATGATGAAAATTGTGAAAAGTATGGCTTTTTGGAATGGAAAAGTTCTTAAAGATGTTGGTGGATACTTTCTTGATGGATTAAAATAGGGATTTTGGAGGGAAATAATTGACAACTATTGGAGGTAAATTCTAATATAAAATATTAAAATAGTTAAGCTGAAGTATATGTATTTGGAGAATACTATAAAAACAATAAAATTGGGGTATGGAAATACATATTTCATAATAACATAATGTTTTTATTTATTAATTATTTAGTGGCCTTGGATAATATAATTATAAAGGTTAAAGAATTTCAAAATGGATAGAGTTGAGTGATAAATTTTCGAAGTAATGATAACGATGAATATTTTAGTCGAAGTTAAATTACATATATTGGTGAATATTAAAATGGTTAGAAGATTGGTTTATGGGAAATTTGGTATAAGGATTATGAAACCAAAAGAAATAAATAAATGTAAGAATTAATCTATTATTTGTTATAGTGGTGGTGGATTATATGATTAGATAAATTCAATTAAGATTGGTAGGTGGATTGAAAACTGTAATAATTTTAGGGATTGTTCATAAGTTATTTATCAAGGTCAATACAAAAATGGTAAAAAGGTTGGTAGATGGGATATTTTATATAGAAATTAATAGAGTGAAGCATTTTAATAGATGTAAAATTATATAATTAAAATAACAACTAAATTTAGTGGTGGGGGTTCATATGATGATTAGGTTTAAGGAGATTAAATTAAAATAGGAAGTTGGATTGAAATAAGCGAAGAATTTTATAAATGGTCATAAGTCACATTTTAAGGAGAATATAAAGATGGTAAAAGAATTGGTAAATGGGAAATTTGGTTTAAAGATTGCCATACAAATTAGAAAAAATTAATGTAGAGATTAATATATAATTCATGATTAGTGGTGGTGGATTCTATGATGAGAAAAGCTCAACTAAAATTGGGAAGTGGATTGAATAAAATTTAAGGTTTTATTATAATTCCTAAGTTACTTGGACTGGTTAATATAAAAATGGCTAGAAAGTTGGTAGATGGGATCTTATACATGAAGAATAACAGATGTAAATCTATATCAAAATCTTAAAATATAGTGGAGGTGGTTTATATAAAGAAGATGGAGATAGCGAAATCAAGATTGGAAATTGGATTGAATTAAGTCATAGCTATAGGGATTGGTCATCAGTTACATATAGTGGTGAATATAAAGAAGATAAAAAAGTTGGAAGATGGGATATTTGGTATAAAGATTGGGAGACGAAGAAAAATGAATAATTGTAATAAAAATTAACATATTTAGAGGGGGCGGACATTATGATGAGATAAGTTCTATTAAAAAGGGAGTTTGGATTGAATTGAGTGATATTTTTGATAGATATTCGTAAGTCATTTATGATGGAGAATATTAAAATGGTAAAAAGGTCGGTATATGGATGGAATTGGAAAAAAAGAGATGGAAACTTTAAGAAGGTTTCAAAAAAATAAAAGATATTAATTATGGTAATTGAAAAATTTCAAGAGTTTTAAATAATTAGATTTCATTAAAAAGTAGTTATCAATTTTTATCAAGTTTATTTTTTTTATTAATATTTCGAATAAATACTTTCTAAGATATTTTTCTTAAGTAAGTTGATTTTCTTGTCCATTTTAACTTAACCTATTTGTATGAGGAAAAAAAGATTATTTTCTGTTTCAACGGTTGGGGATGAGCTTTGTACTTTTTATTTCTTTTGGCTAAGCAGTTAAATTGAAAGAAGGATGGCCATTAAAGGGCAATCTAAATAATGAATAATCTGATAATAATATTCTTTAGATTTGGAATAAGAAAACTTTGAATAAATCATAATTTGAT